CCCTCAGGCGTCAAATCAAACTTACATAACGTCTACAGTGTGGTTATTCGCAAATGTGCGGTATGCGGTTCAGCAGTGTCGTATACAAAATGTACACAAAGCGCAGCTTGTGCTGTTTATATTGAATTTTAACTATTCTGTTTGCGTGGAAGCTTTCTTTGCATGGCGTATCACTGTCTATCATATTTTTAATTCAAATCATTGCAATTCAATTCAATTCAATTCTTTATTCTCATAAACCACCTTGATGATACAGGAGCATATATTGTGAAAATATAATGATATTCATCTGCGATGCTTTTAGAAGTGCACAGTTGACAAGTTCTCTCGTTCCTTGGAATATTATAACAGCGGCCCGTCTCAGTAGGTAAACTAAACAATGCACTTGTTGGCCTTTGATGCGAGTGATATAGAAGCGTGATGATGCCACACCACATGGTGTCTGCAGTGTAAAAGAACACTATCATCTACATAGAAGCTAGTTACATCTGCATAGGTAATATATATCTCCACACAGAGGATACTTCCACATACGTGGAACCCTTTTCAATATCATTGGAAATATAAGGTGAATATCTGGTAATAATTACGTCAGAATATGTCTTTAACAAATACGTTTTTTTCTTTCTTTTAGTTGTACCAAGGAGGTTTAATCTTTAGAATAAATAGCAAACACAAAAACAGCAATATAATGTATGAGTACTTCGGTGATATTAAGTACCATTGTGATCAAACAGGAATAGAGGTATCGTTCCTGTTTGAAGTAGCTCTAATATTCCTACGCCAATATGAATTTTGATCACCCTGAAATACAATAAAGTGACATAAACATAAGTGCATGGTTAAGTTCCCATGCCTTATTTCTAATTCCTCCACCTATAACCAAACAGCGAGAACTGATAATTATTAAAGAAATATCTACATACGGCTCATTTATAGTGTCACATACATGTACTTCAAAACTCTCTGAATGTGATGTATATGTAATAAACTGAGCTGCAAAAGAAACGCAAGTTCCAGTTTGTTTGAAATGTAATTGTAACTCATAATTCCATTAAGTAGGAATTGAACTGATGGCGTACAATATGGCGTCACAAAACCATCAACAATGAACCTAAAACATGAATATTGCTCTTAGGCGACATATATGTAAATTCACACACTCATTCAGTGATTTTATTTTAGGATGATGGTTTGGATGTGGTTTGTTGTCTTTGTGGTGGCCACTCATGGTGGAAATCACCATGAAAATATACTCGTCACAATGCCTTATTTGTCATAGGTCCCTCCCTTTCATCTGGCATTTCCGACACTATTTGTCACACAATATCCTAATTCAAAGAAAATCATAGAAAAGAACAAGTCAGACTACAAAATTCGTAAACTTTTGGAAGCAGTACACATCAAGAAGATAGGATCCGCCCTCAACAGAGATGAAGGATAGTACATTCCCAATGCCTACCATCACTTGATAAAGTACTCAATAATATTTCTTGTGTACATTACCTGTTTCAATACAACTATGTACATCACCCCCATCCATTGTCTATACATCCACCTGGCTTCCTATAAGTTCTAATTCAGGTCTTGTATATCACCCTTCTGGCTTCCAATCAACTTACTCAATCTCTTAGACAAGCGTTGTACATCAACCTCATCTATTGTATAAACAACTTATTCCCTATCTACTGTAACAACAACTCCTGTATATATTCTCTCAATTTGTTACTCATGTATCACTTGCTTAACAACGACATTAGAATCTATGTCAAACCGCCGCCTCCACAGAATAAAAGAAGTTGTATATCCATAATAATTGTCATTATTCTTCATCAACTTAACTTCTAAAATGTCCATCAAAGAAATAATTCAATTGGTTGGTGTGATTAAGTTGGTTAAGACAATTCGAATCCAGTCATGTCATAAAATATGTAATTCCTTAAGTCACATCACAAAATGAACGTTTCCGTTATTTCACGATATGACTATTGCATACGTGCAATTTGCATATCAAAGGAAAGTCTACATCTCTATTTAGATATTCTCTATACGTCAAGTCATACAACGCCATTCGTGGGCAAGAACATTACTGAAAACCATTTAATACTATCCGGAAATTACTAATGGCGACTGAGCTCCCGTTTGTAGTCGATCATGCGCAGACAGCACTGAATTGTGGGTAATATCGCTTTCTCGCTTTCTCGCTTTCTCGCTCTCTCGCTCTATCGCTTTCTCGCGCAATGATATCGCTTTCTCGTCTCGCGTTATCGCTTTCTCGTCTCGCGTTATCGCTTTCTCGACTCGTGCTATCGCTTTCTCGTCTCGTGTTATCGCTTTCTCGTCTCGTGTTATCGCTTTCTCGTCTCGTGATATCGCTTTCTCGCTTTCTCGCCTCCGAATTTTAAGGCGAGAAAGCGATGGCTCTAATCAGCCACCATAGGTTTCTGCTACACATGTCATCGTATCCTAGTTGCGTAGATCGATGCTCATGCTGTTAATCACTGGACTGTCTGATTGTCTGGTTCAGACTCGATTATTTACAGACCGCCGGCATATTGCTGGAATATTGGCGTTCGGCGTTCGGCATTACGCTACAAAGAACAAACAAAATAACAAATGGAACCTTAAACATATCACCTTTGAAAAATAATAAATTTGGTCTTTTAGGCACATTTCTAACATGGTTGTGAAATCCATTTTTATCCCCGTATCCACTAAGCCAGTCTATTTGTACAAAGCTTCCCCTCCGCTTATTACCTTTTCCACCCTCGAGTAGGAATGTCTGAGCGTTAAATAGACATAATCAAATTAAACAAAAGTTCTTTTCATTTTTAAAATCGGTATATTTTCTTTTGCGCCTCTGTGTCATGTACTTGTAAAGTATACTGTAGCTGAAGTCCGCGTCAACGTTAATCAGATATTTGACTGTGTCAGCTTGTTCTTTAGCCCATTGTTACCCGAACGATACCGTATAATAGCTTACGTCAATAGGATCCGACCTATTGTATTTGCTTAGTCCTCTTCAGATACCTCTTAAATGAGAAATGATAATATTTAGGCCAAGTTGATGTGTGTCTCTAAGGAAAGCCCTGAGACGACCACTCATTGTTGGTGGATTGACTGATCTCCAGTGGAGTACCGCCACTGTATGTTGTTAGTTCTTCAAATTTGAAGTTCTTAATAAGGATAGGGACATGAGGGAGGGAGTTTAGTTTTACGCCGCTTTTACCAATATTGGGTAACCTGCGCCATTGCTGTATCAACATGGCGCCCAAATCTTGAACACTCTTGGGTTGACGTCTTAAGGCACAAACACTTCTTCAAAGAGCATCCGGTACGTGTTCCATGGGACTGAGGTCAGGTGATCTCCATGATGTCAATACCCGCATTTTTCAGGAGAGTTAGCCATCTGTAGGTGCAACTGTACCCAGCGAAGACGTTCATCAGGACTTACCCGGGTCAGAATCGGCCCAACATAAGAGTGAGTGAGTATGGCTTTACACCGCTTTTACCAATATTCCAGCAATATCAAGGCGGGGACACCAGAAATGACCTTCACATATCAGACCCATGTAGGGAATCGAACCCGGGTCTTCGGCGTGACGAGCGAAGGCTTTAACCACTAGGCTACCCCACCGCCCGTGATAGGGGCATGAACAATCAGAGATTCAAATTCAAACGTGCGGTTGTTTACATATCGGATCCCATGTTTATCATTGAGAGTTTTCTCTGATAATTTTGTGTGTTTACTTTGGAGATGTTAGGTGAATTTTCCGACATGAAGCACGGTGTATTTGGATTTCCATGCGAATTTCATGTTTATACCCGTAATATACCAGTAATATATATTGAGAGTGATAAATATCAAGCAATATAATTATAAATAGCAATGAGTTTCAAATCAATATCAGTTACATGTATTTAATCAACATCATACGGAAACGGCGTGCTTACATATCACTACAGTGGGGTTATTTTAGTCTGACCTTTCAGGAGTCTTTTGTTTCAGCGTATCCTTCTTTTTGAAATTCCACCAGGGGTATGACAGCAAGGTTGCATTCAAGTTCAAACTACCGGCAGACATCGTGTGCACTAAATTATCATAAGACTCACCACGATACTTTCAGTTTCACACACACACACACGCACGCACGTACGAACGCACGCGTGCGTACGTGTGTGTGTATCCAAAAACAGTTTACACACACACACACACACATATATGTATATATATAAACTGTTTTTTGGACTTATTTCCAAATATGGATTTAATTCCTTCTGGTAGGGTACGACAGGATGCTTGGCTTGAAAACCACGAGCTGATCACGAATGACCCTTTCAGTCCATAATAGAAAGAAAGGAAATTTTCCATATCATGACCAACACGTATATCACGTGCCTGTCTTGCGATAAATCTCAGCGGGTTGCGTACGTCCTGTTGTAATATGATCAGGGAAGCCCAGATACGTCACGGGGTCACCTTTACTTGCTTCCCAGCCCAGAGCAGTTGCTACGTAACATAATACTTACCAGTTCCTAATATTACCTACGAAGATGCATTTCTTGAGACGCTTAAGGGACGGGGTGACTTTGTGGTTAAAACGTTCTGTTTCCATTCCTCGCATTGTCCTGTGTGAGAGGTCAGTACCTGTTATACCCTCACCTCAACACTGTTTGTATATTGATTAAGGTGACGTAAACCAAACTTACCGACTTATTTACGACATTACGTAAACGAACAAACATCAACAAACGTGTAGTGTTCCCCAGCCAGGTTAATGTCTGTGTCATATCTCAGGGATCAAATGGCCTGGCCAATTCACCGATCACATTTTGTGTTATTCTACTCAGGTATAGATGACAGGTAGATCCACTGTGTTGTAGGCACACTGTTTACTGCCTGTGGCCAGCTCAAGATTACACCTATTGTATTGCGTGTAGTATGTCAACGATGATATGGATATATCTAAAAGGGCAAAGTGCGCACCTGTCTAGCGGATTACTACTCAAGTAGTTTGTATTTACTTTGTGTCACATGCATACCCCTCACGATTACAATACACCGCAAACGTTGAGCGGCAGAAAAACTAGAAAAGCAACCTGGTGAATGTATAATATTCAGTGAGGAGTTCATTCTATGAAGTTAGTTGTCCCAGTGTGTCAGCTGGAGGGTGTGGCGGCGTGTAATTGGTCCATCTGGAGCTTGTTTACCGGTACACGGCTCTGTCTTTCTTGGAGGAGAATCTCACAGTCTGTCAGCATGGCGACTGCGACGGTGGTAGTGTTAGTGCTTGTTCTGTTGGGACTCTCAGATCTGTGTGTAGCCAGACGTGCCGCTAACTCTACAGGGAGTGTAACCCATCCTTTTCGGGCACCTGTGCACGTACACATGCATAGTGACGGCGTCAGGCGCAAGAATAACTCCACTTACATCAAAGATGAAGGGGACTATTTCCTGAAGAAGATATTTGAGAAGTATGGACGTGGGGAGAAACAGATGGGCTTGGCTGACTTTGAATTGTTGTTAGGACGAATAGGATTCGAACCTGAAAGGGTCGATGGTGCCGAGGTGGAAGGCCATGACGAACCACATCGTGACCCTAGTGCGAGCACCGAGCAGGAAGTGCACGATGATGATGACCATAAGGACAGTGAAAACTCCCACTCAAAACATGACATGAACAACCGCCACAGAGAACATGGCAAGAACAACCATCACAGAGAACATGGCATGAACAACCATCACAGAGAACATGACATGAACAACAGCCATCACGAACGTGCTAACACTGACCACAAGTCTAATGCGAGCAGTGGACGTGACCATAAGGAGAACCATGGTCACGGGGTCAAGGACAACATTGATCATGACGGACACGGAGATAGAGGACGTGTGCAGACAGAGAGTGACCGAGGCCAGACAGGTCACAGGGCTAATGGGGGACCACGTGTACGCAGGGGGGTCAACCCGCGAACGAGACATGGGATGCAACATGACTCCCATACTGTTGTCATCCATACCCACGACCTTCACACTGACTGTCTCTCTGTGCAAGAACTCATGAAAATCTTCCATGTTGATGAAAGAGGTAAGGTTGGCAAAAAAGACTTGTTATTCATGTCCCCAGCTATTTTATATCAGCTTGACAATCCTCATTGTCGTCGTCGACATGATGGGCCCCATCACCACCACGTTGAGGCGAAATCCACAGACTCTGCAGCAGTTCGGGTTTGGGGATACAGTGTAGCTGCTGTCGTCGTCATCAGTCTCGTCGGCTTGTTAGGTGTGGCTGTCATTCCAATTATGCAGAAATTCTTCTACAATCAGCTATTGCAATTCCTCGTAGCTGTGGCAGTCGGTGCCCTCACCGGGGACGCTATGCTACATCTTCTGCCCCACGCAATCGCCGGCGGGGAGACGGCAGCAAGAGCTGACGAGGACCACGACCATGGCCATCTGGACAGTGTCTGGAAGGGACTTTGTGGGCTGTTGGGAATCTATTTCTTCTTTATCGTTCAGCAACTGATGACCATTTTGACGGGCACGAGGAACAAGAGGAGGGCCAAGCGGAGAGCCAAGAGGAAGGCAAAATATGCATTTAAGGATGAATCGGAACAGTCCGCAGTTGCTGTGAAACTGTCCTCGTACACCGAGTCTGACTGGGAACAGAGCGATGGCATGGCGGCAAATGGCAACAGTGAAGAGACCCAAAGGGAACAAACAGTGCCACTGAAACAGGAAACAAGTCTGAAGGAGAGGAGTGGGTCAGTCACTGGTCACACTGGTCACACTGCCCACGGCCACTCCCACCATGACGGCCCCCTCCCCGGCTCAGTTTCCGCAGTAGCATGGATGGTCATCCTTGGGGACGGCGTCCATAACTTCAGCGACGGCCTAGCTATCGGGGCTGCCTTCGCTAACAGCATCACAGGAGGAATCAGTACATCCATCGCTGTCTTCTGTCACGAACTTCCCCACGAGATCGGGGACTTCGCCGTGCTCCTGAAAGCTGGAATGTCTGTCAAGCAGGCAGTAGTGTATAACTGTCTGTCCTCCGTTCTGTGTTTTATCGGGATGCTGATTGGTGTCGTGTTGGGAAACATTGAAGAAGCGTCCCTGTGGATTTTTGCATCTGTTGGTGGAATGTTTATCTACATCTCTTTGGTAACTATGGTACCGGAACTGACGTCAACGGATACCCAGAATCCTCTGCGCGACCTCTTCTTACAATGCGTAGGCGTGTGTGTCGGATCTGGCATAATGTTGATCATAGCCATTTACGAGGAGGACCTTCTGAACGCTTTGGGCTGAACACTGACTCACTCTCTGCTGTCTGCGAGGACCTTCTGAACGCTCTGGGCTGAACACTAACTCACTCTCTGCTCTCTGCGAGGACCTTCTGAACGCTCTGGGCTGAACACTGACTCACTCTCTGCTGTCTGCGAGGACCTTCTGAAGGCTCTGGGCTGAACACTGACTCACTCTCTACTATTTTCGAGGACGGCCTACAGAACGTTTTATGCTGAACATTGACTCATTCTCTGTTGTGTCCAAGGACAGTCTACTGAACGCACTGGGCTGAACAAATTAACTCACTCTCTGCTGTTTACGAAGACGGCTTGCTGTTCGCTCTCCGTTAAACATAGACTCACTGTTGCTGCGTAAAAGGCCTGCCTTCTGAACTAGCTTGGCTGAACATCGACTCACTGTTGCTGCGTAAAAGAATGGCCTTCTAAAACTGGCTTTACTGTACATTGTCTCACTCTTAGAAACAAGTGCCGCACATGTGTAATAGCGTGATCGGTGGTCTATTAACTCTGTTAGCCAGACTGAATGTAGTCACAATGTAATCATTTCAACGACATTTATATGTATATCTTGCTACGTGAAATATATCCAAACCTTGAAATAGGTTGATAATGATTCTGTTTCTATAACCTCGTTTGTATTTGCTGAACACAAACATGACAAGGATAGAACACGATCTAACAATGCCGGTTGTGTAGCATATACTCAGGCAGGTGGGGACATTGAGATATCATTCATGATATCATCACAAATGTAACACTGACTGACGATACAGAATCTAAATCGTATTACTGAGTGGTACTGAGGAACCCGTGAAGATCCGGGTTAGATTTAGTCTTCAGTAAACTCATGCTTGTCGTAAAAGGCGACTAACGGGATCGGGTGGTCAGTCTCGCTGACTTGGATGACCGATGTCAACGTATCCCAGTTGCGTAGATCGATATTCATGTTGTTGATCACTGGATTGTCTGGTCCAGACTCGATTATTTATATGACCGCCGCATATAGCTGGAATATTGCTGAGTATGGCCTTAAACAACATCCAACCATTCCTTAGGTGCCCAGGATGTTGTCAATCAGTTATTGACGATGTGTCTAGAGTGTCGGTCTATGGTAACTAATGTGCCGAGAGAGGTAAGGCGCCATGTTAATCTATGATTGCTGGTGTGTTCAGGGTGAGGCGCTGTGTTTGTATATTATTGCTGGTGTGTCTAAATTGAGGCACTACGTCTGTCTATGATTGCTGATGCGTCTAGGGTGAGGCACTATGTCTGTCTATGATTGCTGATGTGTCTAGGGTGAGGCACTATGTCTGTGTATGATTGTTGATGTGTCTAGGGTGAGGCACTATATCTGTCTATGATTGCTGATGTGTCTAGGGTGAGGCACTATGCCTGTCTATGATTGCTGATGTGTCTAGGGTGAGGCACTATGTCTGTCTATGATTGCTGATGTGTCTAGGGTGAGACACTATGTCTGTCTATGATTGCTGATGTGTCTAGGATGAGACACTATGTCTGTCTATGATTGTTGATGTGTCTAGGGTGAGGCACTATGTCTGTCTATGATTGCTGATGTGTCTAGGGTGAGACACTATGTCTGTCTATGATTGCTGCTGTGTCTAAGGTGAGACACTATGCCTGTCAATGATTGCTGATGTGTCTAGGATGAGGCGCTATGCCTGTCTATGATTGCTGATGTGTCTAGGATGAGACACTATGTCTGTCTATGATTGTTGATGTGTCTAGGGTGAGACACTATGTCTGTCTATGATTGCTGATGTGTCTAGGATGAGACACTATGTCTGTCTATGATTGTTGATGTGTCTAGGGTGAGACACTATGTCTGTCTATCATTGCTGATGTGTCTAGGGTGAGGCGCTATGCCTGTAAATGATTGCTGATGTGTCTAGGATGAGGCACTTTGTCTGTCTATGATTGCTGATGTGTCTAGGATGAGGCACTATGTCGGTCTATGATTGCTTGTGCGTCTGGGACCTGTGCCAGTGCAGGCAAGTGTGTATTAATCAAGGCCGTTTCTAGGCAAGTGTGTATTAATCAAGGCAAGTGTGTATTAATCAAGGCCGTTTCTAGGCAAGTGTGTATTAATCAAGCTGTGTGTATTAATCAAGGCCGTTTCTAGGCAAGTGTGTATTAATCAAGGCCGTGTGTAGGCAAGTGTGTATTCATCAAAGCTGTGTGAAGGGGAGGGTGTATTAATCAAGCGTGTGTGTAGGTAAGTGTGTATTAATTAAGACTGTATGTAGGTAAGTGTGTATCAATCAAGGCTGTGTAGGCAACTGTGTTTTAATCAAGGTTGTGTGTTGGCAACCGTGTATTAATCAAGGCTGTGTGTAGGCAACTGTGTATTAATCAAGGCTGTGTGTATTAATCATGGCTGTGTGTAGGCAGGTGTGTATTTATCAAGCCTATGTGTAGGCTAGTGTGTATTAATCAAGGCTGTGTGTAGACAAGTGCGTATTAATCAAGACTGTATGTAGACGAGTGTGTTTTAATCAAGACTCTGTGTAGGCAAGTGTGTATTAGTCAAGGCTATGTGTAGGCTAGTGTGTATTAGTCAAGGCTGTGTGTAGACAAGTGTGTATTAATCAAGACTGTATGTAGACGAGTGTGTTTTAATCAAGACTCTGAGTAGGCAAGTGTGTATTAGTCAAGGCTGTGTGTAGGCAAGTGTGTATTCATCAAAGCTGTGTGAAGGGGAGGGTGTATTAATCAAGGATGTGTGTAGGCAAGTGTGCATTAGTCAAGGCTGTGTGTAGGTAAGTGTGTATCAATCAAGGCTGTGTGTAGGCAATTGTGTTTTAATCCAAACTGTATGTAGGCAAGTGTATATTCATCAAGGCTGTGTGTAGGCAAGTGTGTTTTTATCAAGACTTTGTATAGGCAAGTGTGTTTTAATCAAGACCGTGTGTAGGCAGGTGGGTATTAATCAAGGCAGTGTGTAGGTACCTATGTATTAATCAAGGCCGGGTGTAGGCAGGTGGGTATTAGTCAAGGTTGTGTGTAGGCAAGTGGGTATTAGTCAAGACTGTATGTAAGTAACTGTGTATTCGTCCAGGTTGTGTGTAGGCAAGTGTGTATTAATCAAGGCTGTATGTAGGTAAGTGTGTATTAATCAAGACTGTATGTAGGCAAGTGTGTATTAATCAAGACTGTATGTAGGTAGGTGGGTATTAATCAAGGATGTGTGTAGGCAAGTTTGTATTAGTCAAGGCTGAGTGTAGGCAGCTGTATATTAATCAAGGCTGTATGTAGGCAAGTGTGTTTTAATCAAAACTGTGCGTAGGCAACTGTGTATTAATCAAGGTTGTGTGTAGGCAGGTGTGTATTAATCAAGGCTATGTGTAAGCTAGTGTCTATTTATCAAGGCTCTGTGTAGACAAGTGTGTATTAATCAAGACTATATGTACACGAGTGTGTTTTAATCAAGATTGTGTGTAGGCAAGTGTGTATTAGTCAAGGCTGTGTGTAGGCAATTGTGTATTAATCAAGGATGTGTGTAGGCAAGTGTGTATTAGTCAAGGCTGTGTGTAGGTAAGTGTGTATTAATCAAGGCTGTGTGTAGGCAAGTGTGTTTTAATCAAGACTGTATGTAGGCAACTGTATATTCATCAAGGCTGGGTGTAGGCAAGTGTGTTTTAATCAAGACTTTGTGGAGGCAAGTGTGTTTTAATCAAGGCCGTGTGTAGGCAAGTGTATATTAATCAAGGCTCTGTGTAGGCAAGTGTGTATTAATCAAGGATGTGTGTAGGCAAGTACGTATTAATCAAGGCTGTGTGCAGGCACGTGTGTATTAATCAAGACTGTATGTAGGTAGGTGGGTATTAATCAAGGTTGTGTGTAAGCAGGTGTGTATTAATCAAGGCTGTGTGTAGGCAAGTGTATATTAATCAAGGCTCTGTGTAGGCAAGTGTGTATTAATCAAGGATGTGTGTAGGCAAGTACGTATTAATCAAGGCTGTGTGCAGGCACGTGTGTATTAATCAAGGCTATGTGTAGGCAAGTGTGTTTTAATCAAGACTGTGTTTAGGCAAATGTGTATTAATCAAGGCTGTGTGTAGGCAAATGCGTATTAATCAAGGCTGTGAGTAGGTAAGTGTCTTTTAATCAAGGCTGTATGTAGGCAAGTGTGTATTAAACAAGGCTGTGTGTAGGCAAGTGTGTATTAGTCAAGGCTCTGTGTAGGCAATTGTGTATTAATCAAGGCTGTGTGTAGGCAAGTGTGTATTAATCAAGGCTATATGAAGGCAAGTGTGTATTAATCAAGCTGTGTGTATTAATCAAGGCCGTTTCTAGGCAAATGTGTATTAGTCAAGGCCGTGTAGGCAAGTGTGTATTAATCAAGGCTGTGTGTAGGCAACTGTATATTAATCAAGGCTGTGTGTAGCCAAGTGTGTACTAATCAAGGTTGTGTGTAGGCAAGTGTGTATTAATCAAGACTGTGCGTAGGTAAGTGTGTATTAGTTAAGGCTGTGTGTAGGCAAGTGTGTATTAATCATGACTGAATGTAGGCAAGTGTGTATTAGTCAAGACTGTGTGTAGGTAAGTGGGTATTAATCAAGGATGTGTGTAGGCAAGTGTGTATTAGTCAAGGTTGTGTGAAGGCAGCTGTATATTAATCAAGGCTGTGTGTAGGCAAGTGTGTTTTTAATCAAAACTGTGTGTAGACAACTGTGTATTAATCAAGGTTGTGTGTAGGCAGGTGTGTATTAATCAAGGCCGTTTCTAGGCAAGTGTGTATTAATCAAGGCAAGTGTGTATTAATCAAGACCGTTTCTCAAAGCAAGTGTGTATTAATCAAGCTGTGTGTATTAATCAAGGCCGTTTCTAGGCAAGTGTGTATTAATCAAGACCGTGTGTAGGCAAGTGTGTATTAGTCAAGGCTGCGTGTAGGCAAGTGTGTATTAATCAAGGCTGTGAGTAGGCAAGAGTGTATTAATCAAGACTGTAAGTAGGCAACCGTGTATTAATCAAGGCTGTGTGTAGGCAAGTCTGTACTAATCAAGGATGTGTGTAGGCAAGTGTGCATTAATCAAGACTGAATGTAGGCAAGTGTGTATTAGTCAGGACTGTATGTAGGTAGATGTTTATTAATGAAGGCTGTGTGTAGCCAAGTGTGTATTAGTCAAGGCTGTGTGTAGGCAGCTGTATATTAATTAAGGATGTGTGTAGGCAAGTGTGTTTTTAATCAAAACTGTGTAGGCAACTATGTATTAATCAAGGTTGTGTGTAGGCAGGTGTGTATTAATCAAGGCTGTTTCTAGGCAAGTGTGTATTACTCAAGGCAAGTGTGTATTGATCAAGGTCGTTTCTACGCAAGTGTGTATTAATCAAGCTGTGTGTATTAATCAAGGCCATTTCTAGGCAAGTGTCTATTAATCAAGGTCGTGTGTAGGCAAGTGTGTATTAGTCAAGCCTGTGTGTAGGCAAGTGTGTATTGATCAAGGCTGTGTGTAGGCAAGAGTGTATTAATCAAGACTGTATGTAGGCAACTGTGTATTAATCAAGGCTGTGTGTAGGCAAGTGTGTACTAATCAAGGTTGTGTGTAGGCAAGTGTCTATTAATCAAGACTGTATGTTGGCAAGTGTGTATTA